ATAGATCGAGCCCAGAGTTTAATCCTGAACTATCACCCTTATTCTTGTCAACAAACAACATCTTTCTGCTCTATAACTGCTGAGCAAATAACTTGCATTTTTAACCTTTCTATTTCTACTGGTTTTACTCCCAGAGCTTGGAAAACCGCTTACGTTGTTCCCTTGCAAAAGGGAGTAATCCAAATAACTATAGAAACAATATTCATATTGTTCTATTTAGCTACAACTCTAGAGTAACTTTAAATAATCAACTCAAGGAATTTATCACCACAAACTCTGTTCTGAGCTGACGTCAATTTGGGTTCAGGCCTATGTTCCAGCCATCTCTTTAGTTGCGAATGACATTGCCAATGCCTTAGATGAGAAAAAGACATTGTGCTGCCATCTTTGCGGTCCTCTCCAAGGCATATCACGCAGTTCATCATTCTTTGCATCTACATATTTGAGGTAATGTTGATTTTAGTTTTAGATTTTTAGTCTGATCAGCAGCAGACCGTGAACTTGGGAACTATTCGCTCAGAGTTTATATCAATAAATAAGCATGCTCCACAAGGTTCAGTTCTAGTTCCAGTTCTTTTTACAATTTATATCAATAACAGTTCCACTGCCATGCGCAGATGATACAATATTGTATGTCGACTCTGTTCAGCTACAGTGCACTGAAAATATGCAGACCCCTTCACTTTTTGTAATGTTGCAGCCTTATACTAAAATAAAAAATAAAAAAAAGACATTTTCACCCACATCAATCTATATTCAATATCACATAATGACCAAGTGAAAAGAATTTTAAACTTTATAAATTAAAATGAAAAACTGAAATATCACATTGAATGCAATGTATCCGTGGAAAGCCTGCAACATTCCTTTCACGGTCTCCATCCAATACAAGTGTAGTGAATGCACATGAAACCAAGTTATGTTATTCTCTAGAGCTAGAGATTATGGTAGCAAAATCTTTCATGTCTCTACAGGACAAGGATTCAGTATTGAAAGAGTTACAGAATATAAATACCTTAGTATTTGGATAGATGACAAATTCACATTTAAATATCCTGAAGACAATCTTGTCAAGAAATTACTTTTCTTTGCTTTGGAGGAAAAGGATTGTTAAAGTCGTATTTCTCTCTGTGAAGGATTACAGTGATATAATTTATAGGCATGTCTCTGTCTCCACTCTTAAACCCTTGGATGCTTCTTATCACACTGCCCCTTGGGTTTATTACTGGTGCTGTTTATAGACCTCATCATTGCATCCTGTATGAAAAAGTTAGGTGGTGTTCTCTGTCTGAAAGACATGATAACATGTATTCATTTATCTACAAGGATCTTAATGGGAAGCTGCCATCTTATATCAGCTCTGTAATAGACTGGTGCTCTGGGCCATATCAAACTCAGTGTAATGAGTGGCCTTTACTGCAAATCCCTCAAGTCTGTACTGAGCTTGGACAATTTGCCTGAAATGCCTTCCAAAGCATCCTAAAAATGTATTCTTTCATAACCCTTGGTCAATTTAAATTCATGATTACAAAACATATGTCTTCTGTTTGTACCCCTTTTAACAAATTTTCCTTTCGTATATGTATCCTGTATCTCTAATTAGTTGTACTTGTATATACTTGTTTTAATTGACCAATCTTCTTTCACCTTGCAGCTTTTATCTTTTTAAGTCATTTAAACTGTTACTTGTGTCACTGTAAATAAGATGATTTAAATAGAAGACATTATAGTATGTTGCTATGGTTTCATTTCAAATTGCTGTGAGCTCATCCAGGTGATAAAGATTTCTATCTTGTTGCAAAGACTCACAGTAAAGCTTAAGTACCAAAGGAAAAAAGTACTTTATGACTAAAATCGGATTTGATAAACAGCTGCTGAGAGTTTGTTCACTGCTAAGACATGGAAAAAAAAAAAAAAAAAAAAAAAAAAAAAAAAAAGAGGTGCTAAATGTCTCGTCAACCCTCCAGCAAGCCTGTTTCTGCACTTCATGGTACCTTGCTGTCTTGATGCTGGGAATAGACCTGAGGTTCATCATTGACTTTATTGACTTTCAGGATGATTTCAGGAAGCACAGCAAACATCAAACCAACAAGTGTTTGATGAAGCGTCTTCGTCTTTCCTCTGATGTTTATCTCTGTAGCTGAGGAGACGCCAAAGTCCATTTGTCTTTACGCCGGCACAGTGAAGGCAGCGCAGATGAGATTCTCATTAAAAAGCGACTTCAGTATAAACACTTTCTATCATCCTTAATCTCTTTGATTCCAACAAGCACCTCAGTGAGACCTCACATCACAGTTATACCATTTAAAGCTCAGCAGCTCTCTTTAGTTCCACTTAAACAACTTATTTATTTGACAGGGCCACTCACAGGGGAGCCCCCCTCCCTGCTTCTAAGTGCCTCAATGAATTTGTGCAGCAGTTTGAGATACTGTTAAAAACAGCACAGTCTCTACAACGCACTCTGATAGTTCAAAATGACATTTGTAAAACTGCAAAGCTGTTTGTTAAGCAGACTTAGAGTAATTAACCATGTGTCTTAAAATGTTAAATGTTACAAAACTGCTGCAGTACAAGTTAAAGTCCTGTGATCAAAACTTTACTGCAAAATATACTTAAAAGGTAAATGTAATTATGCAGAAAGGCACCTTTCATACCTTTTCATTATATGGTGAATTATTTTGTAGCATTACTGATTTGTAGTTTAACAGAATACACCTATATCAGAAGGTACAGCTTACTAGCTTTTTTTCTGTGATTACTGTGTAATGCTCTTAATAAAGTCTGAAAAACATGAATTGTCTAATCATAAATAGTCATTTATTGCTAACACTGAACCAAAGATTGTTCACCTCCAGCCTCTCCGGTTTATCCTGGACAAACAATAGAAACCTGATAGGATGTATTAATATGCTGCCCACTATTAGTAAAAGTGGGATGACTTCTGTATAAAGGCTCCTTGTGTCTGTCATCGTCCCACAGCAGCAGTCACCAATACAAAACCAGTACACACTCAGAACAATTAGCCTACATTTTACTCACCATTATATTCACTACATATCAGTGACACAACGATGTGAGCCTAAATAGGTTGGATAAACTGTTTTTAGGTCAGTTTGTACTTGCTGTTTATTGCTTTAGCCTGAACCTGTACACTTCACAGCAGTTAGAGTCGTAATAAAGGCTGCTCACACTGTCTGACCTCCTGGGGGACACATGTACAAGCCCTGGTTTCATACGTTAATGTTCATTATGTTCTGCCTTGTTGTTAATCTGCATTTATGTGCTTTGTTGCTCTGCAAACCTATGAATTAACCTATTTGTTCAAAGTAATTTATGAATAACAGAGTGAGTAGCAGGGCTGTGTATGGCAGTGTTCTCTCAGGTGGCACATACAGCAGGAATAATAATCAATCATGCAGCATGCAATGTATTAACCAGACACTAAAAAGACTGAAGTTCTGGGGCTCAGTCACCTGACTGCTAACTGTGTATCACATCTACAAAAGTGTATTATAAAGCCTTTAAACACATTCCCACACAATATTGATTTTTAGAGGTAATTACTTGAACCACTTTTAATGGCTTAAAAATATAAAGATAAGATATATATATATATATATGTGTGTGTGTGTGTGTGTGTGTGTGTCTCAGAGGTCCATTGTTAATCTATTAAAGACATGTCAATGAGCCACACTGGAGCACTGGATGACATGTTCCTTCATTACCAGGACAACAGACACTGAAACCACATAATCCCACATACATTTCCTTGCTACCGTCAAGACTCACTAGACCACAAAATGTCTATTAATCTGCCACTAAAAATAGTCCACATCAAATGGACATTTACTTTGTTTGCATAAAGTTTCTTAAAAACTATAGTGCCCAGTTGTTTTAGGATTTTGCTGAGTCTTAAAAAGTGAGGGGGATGCATGGCACACACAGGGTAACAGGGTAATTAGTCAGAAAATATTGACATGGACTAACATCACCGGCTTTGGTCTTTTCTTGTAAAATTATTAACAATAAAAATATATAATGATGCCAGCCTCAACCTTTAAGAACACGCACACAGCACAGTCTCTTGCACAACCTGAATGAGGGGCACGCAAACAGGGCCAGTAAAGAGAAAGACATGGACGCTAAAAGTTTTTTCAAAGGCCACAGGTCACTCCACTGAGTGAATCAATATGCTGCACACACCTCTACAATGAAATAAGATTTTACTCATTTGAAACGGTAAAAAAACAAATAAATTTGAAAATCACTCTATGGCTATCAATGTTGATATTGTGGTGGACTGCCAGAAATAAATCAAAGTACGGGAAACACTGGCGCTCAAAACTTAAATAGTTGGAAATAATCTCTTAAGGAAATTAAGGCTATAATAATACTTTGATAGTTTCATGCTTTACAAAAGGTTCTCCTTTGAAAGCTGACTGGCAAGTTCCTAGTCTCTAGATTTCTTAGATTTTTTCCCAATGCATTGATGATTGCTTCCTGTGTTGCGCACCACATTAGGACTGTACCAGCCAGCAGCTCACAATAAGCACAGCAAAGAGTACAGTGAGGACTGAGTAACTTAGCAGTAGTTACTCATTAAACCTGTGTTTTTCATCAGATAATCAAAAGCTAAAATCCTATGCAAAATAACTGACTAAAATGAAAAAAAAATATTCATTGTAATCTGATGCTTAAAGAAGACAAAATGTTTTCATTGATTAAAACTAAACTAAAATGGTTGTGGTTTTCTTTGGCTAAAATAAGACTAAATTGTCCAGTTTTGCAGTTGACTAAATATAAATAATAATATAATATACAATTATAATATAAAAACTATCAAGGATATTGGACACAGAACCAAGACTATGACTAAATTGACAAAAATAAATAAATACAGAGTGGACAAAATTAACATTACTTCCATCAACACATTCCTGGAACAAAATCTGACTTGGTGTCAGTGTGAAGTTCGTCAGAGAGGAAACCTATCTACTCACGGCAGATTTCTAAGCTCTCGTCTGACCCGTCCTCACAGTCCGGCTCCCCATCACAGTGCCACCTCTTCGGGACACACTGGCCGTTCTGACACACAAAGTCCACCTCTGCACAAGTCTTTTTAACTGGAGTGGGAGAGAAAAGAGATGATTTATTATAGAGGAGAGGAGAGAGAGACACACACACAGGCTCCATGTTCTTTAATGAAACATCTCACATTAAAGAAAAATGCATGAATAATAGGAGGGGAAGAAGAGAAAGACCAAAGCCATGTTCAGACACCTAATGAATATGAATCGCAGTACACCCAACCCAAGATTCTTTCTTTCACAGATAGAATGGTTATGAGTTTACAATTTCTTGCCTCCTGATTAAGAAAAGCACAAACTCAACATTTGCATTGAAATTGCTTTTAAAATTATCCTCTGGAGATTTGTCTGCTGCATTTATTTTTCATCAAAGGGGGAAGATGGCAAGAACAAAAACATTTCTTCACATTTCTGTGATTTCATTTCAGGATGAAGTGAAATCACAAGTGAAGAAGGGAAAAACCATTCTTGAACATAAAGGAAAATGCTAATGGACTGTACATATATAGAGCTCTTCTAGTCGCATCGAACAGTTAAAGCACTTTACACTACAAGCAACGTTCACCCATTCACATACACATTCATAAAGAGCTCTTTCTAACCATACTGTGCTTTTTCTTTGGGGTTTGGTGTCTTGCCCAAGGACACTTCAACATGCAGACTGGAGGAGCCAGGAATCAACCCACCAACCTTCCAATTAGTGGCCTACCTCCCGAGGCACAGCCACAGGTTCAATGGGCAATTCACAGAATTAGCATAAATTAACTACAGCTTAGTAGAGTTAGCAGAGTTATCGTGCCTGTACAATGGCATATTACAGCCACTGGAGGTAAAAAAAAAAAAAAATATATATATATATAAAAATAGAGCCGGGGAAGGTGGGTAACATTCCAAGAAAACATTTTTTGAAATTCTCTGAGATTAAAGCAGTAATAATCAAAGATTTATGAATACACCGTTGTATGCCTGTGCCAGTGTAAAGCTGCAAAGTAAATGATCCAACTCCAACTAAACCTTTCACCTCCTACAGCTTATTAAGATACCATTAATTATGTAAGTTATAATTTTGGAATTATTACTATTAATACTTTGTAAATGCTACAAAGGTTTGTTGGTCTTGTTCAAATCAAGAGAACAAGACATGGAGGGATGAAGCAACAGTTTAATTCAAACTTGAGAAAGTAGTCCTGATGTGTTGTCAAGAAAATAGAAGCTAGAGTGTTTCAAGATTTTTAACAGATTTCAAAACAATCTATAACACAATTACAGCCCTCTACCTCCATGTCCACTCAGGATTTGAGTGTACCCTTGAGGCCTGTCCTCAGTCCCTCTGACCAGAAACAAGGAACTCCAGTTTAAGGCACGACAGCATTAAGTCCGTAACCTTCCTTTTTATAAATTAATTTTGGATTCTCATCCTTATCACGTCACACCACATTTTTGTTGGTGCTAAAAATGTGCTAAAAAACAGAGACTCAAAGGCCACTCTCTATTTACCACTCTTGCTCTGAGTGATTCAACCATTATATTCAACCATTTCAGTGGACTTGAAACATTATATTTATATTTTATAATTGCCTTCTGTTCTTTTCCTCTACTGGGGTTGGGCGATATGTTAAAATTTTCCAACCGGCCACCATCAGTCCAACAACATGCAATTACCGATATATTCACTTAGACGTGTATATTCTGAATAAATCTGCCTTCACCTCATCGTCTATCATCCATGGTCTTTAATGTGAAAATCTAATACTAAAACATTATAGCCTGTAGGCTACTATTCAATTAAACAAAATAAATTACCTTGAGATCTTTGATAATCAATAAGCTGTGAATACAGGCTGGACAGCTGAAAAAGTCAGACGGTGTCAAATGAAGGAGCTACCTCTAGTGCACCTTACAAATGAACAAACAGATGCTATTAAACAATCAGGGTTCACAACTGCACATCGAGTTTTAGGTCTTATTCTCAAATATGATGTACTGCTTTTCACCACCAATCGATCAGAAAATACCCAACCTGCAATGGACTCAACCAATCACTGATACCCGATTTATATATCCAATCACTCAACCTTATTCTCCATTTCCCTCTTTCCTTCTCTCTCAGTTCTTTTCTCCCTCCCAGTACCATATGACCCAGATAGATGAGCGACAAAAGAAAATGGAGAAAGAAGATGTGTAATTTCTCTCACACACACACACACACGCACGCACGCACGCACGCGCCTCTGCTGTAACTTCTATCTTCCCATCACCAGGTCATTCTGTCCCAAAGGATACTGGGAAGGTTTATGGTGGGGCCAAGTTAACGTGACATCTGTCATGTAACATCTATGTGAGTGAATTGGAAGTAGTGTGTCTGTGGAAACAGAAACCAAATGAAAACCATACAATATGTTGTGTTTGACTGTATATGCTAGTCTGTATAATGACTGTACAGTATGATAATTGTTAAGCCTACAGCACACAGATGTATGAGTTCATCCATAGTGTGTGGTTTATACACTAAATCAGTCCATTTTTGAAAAGAAGAGAGTGAGTACATCAATTAAAATACAAGTCGGATGAATCACAATTTTTTGCTGCAGCTTTTTCCATTCTTAACAGATATTTGCATCAATTTTAGCCAAGCTGGTGGTAAGGATGGGGAGCTTAATGGCAAACAGCAAATTCCAAATTTAGTACCAGAGTCAGTAACTGGAGGGAAAAACTCCACTGGCACCAGTCCTACCATTGTAAAAAGATAATCTGGCACCCTGTGTGTGACCTTTCAAGATACAACTCAGACCGTTTTTCCAACTTTATTTACATATTGTTCACTTTGGCACTAAAACAGTAAGAACAACTTAATTGTAACCAAGATGGATTGTCATCCCTCTGCCCACTCTCCATCAAAGGCTACATTAACTGTGCAAGTACAGTACATTTACAGCCCACATACTGCACAGGAGCAATGAAAATGGCAACTGATACTTACAGAGAGAAGAGCAAAGACAGTATCATCCTAACTAACACGGACTGTCAGGACTTTTAGGAGGTTAACAATTGAGAAAAAGGCATTTTAATGACAATGTGGGTCAGTGATGTGTCAATGGAGCTCTATGGCCCAGAGGAATAAGATGTCATGCTTTAGATACTCATAATACTTGTTAGGGAGATCCATTTAGTGCTTGTTTTGATGTTTTCAAGAGACTCATTGACATTAAGAAAAAGATCAATTATAACTACCTTTATCTATAGAGTGACAGAAATATAACAAAACTTATCTGTGACTATCTTGTAAGGGAAAAAGAAATTTCCTCATTTCAGTGAACGTGAAAGATGATGACCTGAGTGTTTTACAGTAGACATGCAGTCTCAAGTTCAGACTGTAATTACTGTGTTACTGTAAGCTACATTTGGAAACCATCTACCTCTAATTATTCACTGACTATGTTGCTTTACTCAACACAGACAGTACTCAATCCTGACATTCAAGCTCTTTGTGTTCAGAGTGTGTGTGTGTGCTGTGTGACATCAGTGTGTGTTTATTTTCTCACCACAGGAGTTCTCGTCGCTGCCGTCGGTGCAGTCCTCGTCTCCGTCACACTGCCAGACGGACGGGATGCAGCGACCGTTTCCACACTGAAACTGGCTGGCCTCACATTCTGTCTTTGTACCTACAGAGGAAGAAAGACAGATGTGCTATGAGGAAGACTGAAGTGAATATAGTCCCATATCGTTTCATAATCATCATTTACTGTTTCGATGCAATTTGTTTTTTTGTTTCGTCCTAGCAGGGTTCCCCTCAGAGCTGTAATTTCAAAACAAATTGTTTTAAACAGAGCTAGTTGGCACTGAGAGCAGCCACCACTGAGCCACTGTGGAGACACGCCAGCTCCACATGTTGGATTCCCGCAGAAAGTTTAATTTCTTCTCCTCTCTCCACCAACTTATTTCACATTTCCTATACAGCTCTATGAACATAATGAACAGGAAAGAAAAACCTTCCTCGAATGATACCGTGTTTGCACAGACACCCACAGCTGATGTCTGGACTCACATTTCCTGCTTTAATTTATAAAACAAGTGAAGTAAACAGCCTTAGGTTCTGAACTATTGTTTGGACAAAATAAGACATTTGAAAATGGCCTACTGGGCTCTGAGAACTTGCATTGGGCAGTTTTGAGTATTTTCTGATGTTTTATTCACCATCCAATTGACTTGCTAATTGCAATGTAATGCTGAATCCTTACTCCTCAACTGTCTTACAGCAAACATGTAGAAAATGACAATGAAAATGGGATTTGTTGCTGAAGGAAGTGAAACTACAGTGAAAAAAATAAAACGACAATGGGATTTGTTGCTGAAGGAAGTGAAACTACAAAAAAAAAAAAAAAAAACTGTCCCAAGATTTATTTCCCCTTCAACAAAAGAAAAACTGGATTTCTAGACTCTGTGCATCAAGCACTACTTTCTAGGACAGTGTGCAGTTGTAGTAGAGGTAGTGACGACTCCAGGTCTTAAAATAACACCGTCTGACCTTGATGCTCGCTTTAGTCTGGACTGCATGTCCAGGTGGGTAAATGGAGTACAGAGAAATGATAGAAGCCCAGTAAAGGTTGCAGTTCCAGCTGAATCGCTGAGCCACTGAGAGGTCAACTACTTTCCATAAAAAGGTCACTATTTTTCATAACTTATGGTGTGTGCCAAAATGTGAAACATCAATTCAAAACAACAGTTTCAGGCTAAACAGATTGCAGGTTCTTGTAAAATTGTATTCTTTCCATGATGGAAAAAGCCTCTATAAACTGCATTTAGTCACTGAATGCCATTATGAAGGAAACTATTTTAAGTGGGTCAGCTGCTCCTTGAGGAGAGAAACGCCCCCACTGATTTGATCTGAACCTGAGGAGCTTCTGCTACTGTGGCAGCAACATATGACTTCAGACCTGCATGAATGAAATTGCACTCAAATTTTAAAACGAATCCACAGACATGTTAATATGCTGGAGGTTCCTAACAGGCCACAGCTACAACATGACCGGATGATATCCGATATTCAGTATATAAATAAATGTTTTGTATTTTGCAGTCAATTTACACAATAATTCAGGTTCCCAGCGACTGCTTAGTTTTGTGTTGATAAACAAAGGTGCTTTAAAGACATCACCTTTAAATCTGAGAAATTGTGATGGGATTCATCATTAGTTTTGACATTTCATAGACTGAATAATCAAAGAAAAGGGTAATTCACAAAAGGTAAATGGTAACATGAATTCCAGTTTTCTATATATTGTTCATCATGCCTTCATTTTGGATTCAAACTGGGTCTGTTTGCCAAATGGGGACTCTACAAACAATCAACAGAGATGCTGAACAGAAGTGAAGAATGCAGACACACAGGAAAGGTCCTTGAAAGCGTTTTATGCCTGATACAACTTCACAGCACAGGAGGTGGTGATACTCAGCTAACCATGCCAACAGCCTGCAGACTTCCATTCAACCAAGACTACACCAGCTGTACTTAATCCACAGTCATGTTACAAAAGATAACACTGACCTTTTATCCACATTACCATTCCAATCACCACAATCAAGGCAGAATGGATAACAGCTTACCTTCTTGCATTTTAAATCAGAACAAGTGGAGCACTGCGCATTAAACCATCCAACAAATAACCACTGATGTGCAACAGACTGAAATTGGGAGAGGGATACTGAAAACACAGCTCAAGTACATCCACAGCCCTGCACAACCTTTCTAAGAGGGAAAGTTCATACTGCTCACCATGTTACCCTCTGACCGGTAAGGTCAGGCCAACTGTTGGTTTGCATCAATAGCCAACAGTGCTGCAGCTAATGATGGCTGTTTAAATTCCAATAAAAAAATGGAAAAATTTTGTTGTTCTAAAACTTTTGACCAGAAGTGTATGAACGGACAACCACTCAGTCACTACTACAGGTGATGTAGAATAGCTAGTCAACCTAACCTGTTTGTTGGACTGTGGAAGGAAACTGGGGCATTCACACTGCAGTTTGAATTATTGGGTTTTTATGTTTGTTCCTTTCGATTATTTTTTATATTAGTTAAAAGAGTGCTCAGAATAAAATGTCAGAAAATAAAATGAGGACATTTGCCTATAACATCCTAGAGCCCAAAGTGCCATCTTCCAACTGCTTGATTTTTCTTGGTTTTCAATGTGAGTGAAGAGAAAAAAAAGCTAATCCTCAATAAGATGGAACTTTGATTTCAATTTTCTATTGATCAACTGATTGAATATCCCAACCTTTTCAACACTTATCAAATCAAAATTTCAACATTTAGATGACTTGTTGCTCATACATCAGTCCAGTGATAAATCTGAAAGGCAATAGGAATTGGAACCGACTAGAAACATCATGTCTCATGAATGACAAAGTGAACTAAATGCATCATTACCTGATGCAGCATGATCTCTACACATGAAACCAATCTATATAAAAACAAAACATTTCTTTGCAAAATAAATATCTCAAAAAGGGCAACATTATTTTGGGCTCCACTGCAAATGGAAATAATCATAATATGGGAGCACTGTTTCCACAAAAAAATTAAACAGAGGAGTCAGCGATTACCATAGACCTGAGCAAAGAGGGTTGCCAGGGAAATCAAAAATCAGGTCACACTAGTTTAAATATAGAGTCCATGGAGGTATGAAAATTCTTATTTCTTCTTCTGTTTCTCAAAGTATAATTCAACGTTTTGTAAACTGGTTTAACATCTGACCATGACCAACACATTTCCTGGAAAAAGAGGAAACACTCAAATGAGTCAAGGAATGGCATCGAACTTCCTTCGTGTTTTAATCAAAACAAAAAAGAAACTCATTAAATAAAGTGCTTCAAGAGACTCACTGCCATGCATGCAGTGGGTTGAGCTCAGAGGAGCTTTGGGAATTAACTGAGATGTTTAAAAATCATTGCCAAAAACAAGACATTAATTGAAGTACAGTTTTGCAAGCTTTTGATCCATGAATCCCACTGTTGATGTAAGTTGGGCCTTTTCCAGCACCTTGTTATGATTCTATGATGATACAGACTTTTGAGACACAATGGGCCAATTTAAAAATTTGGTATGTTGGTAGATCTTGTAATTTTGAAGAATAAAAACTGAATGCCACGGTGCCAGAAACAATAGCTAACCAGCCCCATGATCTGCACAAGTAATCAACATTTCAATTATGTGCCACAATTCATCCTATAAATCCGACGAAATAATCTTTTTTTTTTTTTATTTAAAAAAAAAAACAACAACAAAAAAAAAAAAAACATTAAACTAACCACCAATCACAAACCAATGCACATTCCCTCCATACAATGTATCCTAATTAATCTTCATCCAGAATACATAAGTACAGTGTGAGGTTAAGATAAGCAATGAATGTTTTAGCTAGCTTGTTGTGTAAGACTTTGACAAAAGGACAAGAGAAACTGAGATAAATAAGTAATGAATAAAATTAATCTTTGGCTACTTTATCAATTAGAGCATGGGTTTTCAAAGTGTGGGAAAGTGCGCCCAAACTCCCACTCCACTGTATGTCTAAATTTTTTTAAAAACATCTTTTTCTCAACGTTTTCATCATCTTTATTTTTTAAACATTATTTGAACACACTTTTTGAACAAAATTCCAGATCATACATTGTAAGTTGGAAGAACACTTCTCTGCAGAGCCCCCTGCGTCTCTTAAGGAAGCTCCAACCTTCTAAGGGTTTTTTCTGATGTTCACCTGACTTATCCAAACATATGAAACTCATTCTCATCTCACTCTGCAAGTGCGTAACAACCAGAGTGTGCACGTGTTGTGCCCCTGCCTACGTGAGCGCATATTACTCTCTTGACAATGCTCCTTAAAATAACAGAAAAATACTGCGCCACTGACTTCAGACCACAGCGCAAGTGTATTAGCAATCTAAACAACATGGGTGCTGAATGGGAAAATGACAACTGAGTCAGTCTGAAACTTGCAAAGACACTTGCATTGCATTTTGCTGTGATTGCGCCAGGTGTAAGACAGAGCCCTGCGTCTTTGCTGCACTGTACTACCTCCGCTTTCTACTCGCCCCAGACCGTTTATTCTCAAACTGTAGTTACTAAAAAAAATTTTTTAAAAAACGATCCATTTCGACCAACACATAGCTGAGTTTAGCTAACAAGATGTTTATGGTTATTTTCTCTAGTTCATTTTTTCTCATGCTTTGCCTCCCCTGAAGTTCTCTTGAAACCCCCCAGGGAGGCGAGCCTCACACTTTGAAAACCACTTTGGTGGACATGGGGACAGAGGAGTTCTTAAAACTGCTCAGTCTGCACTTAGGCACATTAAAACATCTGTCTGAGGCGAGAAGCTGGTACACTGGGTGGAGGGACTGAAATGATCTTCTAGGCCTGTCTAGTGATTATTTCATTGAAGATATCCTGCGAGGTGGGATGCTGCCAGATTTTCATAGTTCTAAGGGTGAGAAAAGAAATTTGGGAACTGAACTGTACACCACCAAGTATGCCAAAGCAGTTCAATAGAGAATGATGCTCTGAACTATGCCATGGTAGAAGATAAACAAAGCTTTCTGGTTAACACCAAAAGTACTCAATCTGCAGACAAAGTAGAATCTCTGTTGAACCCTTGAGCAGTGTCTACCTGGG